GATTTCAGAAAATCCTGGAAAGACTTGTACAGACTGATGCAAAATGAAATGAGCAGAACCAGGAAAACATTGTGCACAGTATCAGCAACAATGTGTGATGATCAACTATGAATGACTCAGCTCCTCTCAGCAACACAAAGATCCAAGCCTAGTACAAAGGACTCACAAAGGAAAATGCCATCCACATCCAGATAAAGAACTGATGGACTCTGAATGCAGATCGAAGCATACTTTTTTCACTTACTTTATTCTTTTTCGTGATTTTTTTCCTTTTGATCAGTTTCTTCTTTCACAATTGTGAGTAATATGGAAACATGTTTTACATGATAGTACATGTATAACCTATACCAAATTGCCTATCATTTTTGGAAAAGGGGAAGGGTGGGAGGGAGAAAAATGTGGAACTCTAAATCTTGTAAAAATGAATGCTAAAGGCAGCCCTAACAAGACCGCTGCAGCTGCGGGTTGCAGTCCCACGGGAAGACTGGATGTGGTTAGCAGTGGAGGGCGGCCTCCTCTCCACCTGGGCCCTTCCTACCTCTGAGGTCCACCTGGGGCGGTGAGTGAACCCCGACTGCCAGGGCTGTAAGTCTTTCTTACCAGGTATTAACAATATGGATGCCGAACAGACAGGACAAGCGACTCCCAGAGTGACTGACACCTTGCAACAAATGGTTGCCTCATGTACTGGAGCTATTCTTACATCACTAATGGACACCTTTGGATGTTGTTAAAATTCGTCTCCAAGTTCAAAACAGCCCTTAACCCAAAAGAAGACTTTTTTTATATTGTAATGGACTGATGGATCATCTATATTTTGACGAGGGTAGCAACAAAGCATAGTACAAGAAGCCTGGCCGCTTCAGAGGAACATTGATTGCATCTATTGTGACTTCACCATTTGATGTTGTAAAAACACAAAAACAAACCAGACTTTGGAGATATGAAACTCCTCAAGATGTAGATCTACACACCCTACCCACATCAACATGGGGCATTCTGAAGTAGATTGTTTCTAACATGGAATTTCTGGATTATCTGCAGGACTAATTCCCTGGTTAATTAAACTTGCCCCTGCTTGTGCCATTATGGTCAGTACATATGAATTTGGGAAGGCTTTCTTCCGTCAGCAAAACCTCAAACAGGAATACCATGCTTCTGGCTGTATGGATTTGAAATAATTATCATGGTTATATTATTAGCTAGAAGATTCTCAGAAAATATGTAGAAACTGCAGGTCTATTTTTAAATATCTTTTTTATTTAAAAAAGTATTAATTTTACAATTCTAATTATAATTTAATAACAAGTTTTCTATTTTATCTCGTCTTTGGAAAAGTTTAAGAAAATTCTTCATTGGGTATCCATAACCCTTGTGAAAATATTAGAAAGGAAAAGAGAAAAAACCTGACAGGAGAGCAAGAATTTTTTACTGAATTCTAAATTTTCTTTTGTTACCTGTTGTCTCCTATGAGTCTGTCAACTGTACCTAAACCATGATAGGAGTAGAGTGTTTAAAAAGAAAAGGCTAATTAATAAGTCTTTTGTGCAACTCTTAATCATGCAGACAAGTATTTATTTTTTAGTGAAATGGAAGTAGAAGACAAATATCAAATAACATCACACCCGCACTTGCCAAATATTACCAATGTGTTTTTACTTTTAATTCTAATATTCCTTAGCTTTTTGTTTGTTTGGGGCCCCTATACATAGTAGGATTTCTTCTGACAAACCATAATTGTTTTATCTTTACATCCAGAAATCATCCTTTTTTTGCCACTATAAGCAAAAGTTACACATCTTTTGCTATGTTCTGCCAATTTTGAAGAATATGGACGCTGTTCCTGGACACGTCATACTCATTTCAAATTTTGGTTCATTCTAACTGGGGTGAGCAGCATAGAATGTATTGCTTTAGAAAACTACTCCTCTATATTTAGTTCAGATAAGTTGAGTACTTGAAAAGGCAGCCTAGTTTGTGATATGGATAAGATAATTGCTAAGAATTATGTAGAGTACTTTAGGTCCTACTGCTATTGAGGTAGAAATAAAAAAGACGTTTTTCATTACTTTCTGATGTTTCTACTGATATACATTCACTTTAGCATTGGAGGACTACACTGTATTTAAATGAGTAAAATTTGCCACAGAGGGTTGCTGTGCTTTTTATTCTGTGATTAATAGGTATCACTGTTATTTTCATTGTTTTTCCAGCTCAGTTTTGTAGGCTTCTTCTAATATGCTAGAGATTATTACATCATCAATGGCTAAATATTTTCATGTTGTGTCCAGATTTCACATATTACTACATTTCACATTAGTCTGCTGACCATGAAAATAAGCAATAATCAGGGGCGACGGCATTTTATTTTAAAGAAACTTTTCTTGTTACAGGCCAATAGTGTGTGACTAAACGTCAAAATGAAATGAAGAAAGACGTAATGACAAAATAGGAAGTAGCATAAATTTTAAAAATTACTCTGATCTTTTTTTTTCCTCAGAATAATTTATATGCTATGAGACAAGCACTTTATTGTGGTCTAAATATTTTTCATGAAAATGTGAAAAATTTCAGAATGGAATAGTTGAAGGAGATGGGTATTTAAATATTATCTGGTAAGAGTTAGAAAATTAATGCAATCTATACTAAACTATGAAAGTGTTCACATATTTCGCTAAACAAATACTTTTATATCTCTAAGTTTTGAATGTAACCATGTATGTATTTTTATTTCATCTTATGTTGATTTGTCTTAGATTTGGAAACAATATATATGTATGTTTGTTTTTAATTCGTTTTCATTAAAGATTTTGCTTCCTTTCTAAAAAAAAAATGAATGCTAAAAATCATCATGACATGTAATTGAGGAAAAAAAATAAAATACTATTAAAAAAAAGAAAACAATCAAATTTAAAACTGCAAATTAAATACCAAAATGGAAATCCTGAAAATCAAAATAAGAGATTAAGAAAACTGAGAGGGGAAAAACAAACAACAAAACTAACTGGAGTAATAAACAAATCTAGCTGTTAGTTTTGTTTTGTATTATTTGGGGGAGGGGGGAAGGGAATAAACCATTTGTTAATTCGATTTAAAAGAAAAACAAATTACGACGTCAAAAATTCAAAAGAATTTTAAATAAACCAATAAAAGAAAAAAATCATTAGAAAACCATTTCACCCAATTATCTACCAATAAAATTAATACTGAAATGAAATAGATGAATAATATGCATACAACAATATAAAAGGCTCAGATTATTATAACAAGTAAAAGAGTACTTAAACTACCCATTTTTATTTTTATTTTTTTTTTTTAGTTTCAGGCAATTTGGGTTAAGTGACTTGCCCAGGGTCACACAGCTAGTGTCAAGTGTTTGGTCTGAGGCCGGATTTGAACTCAGGTCCTCCTGACTTTAGGGCCGGTGCTCTATCCACTGCGCCACCTAGCTGCCCCCAAACTACTCATTTTTAGACAAGAAATTAAATAAGACATAAATGAACTCAAAAAGAAAAAACCCTGAAGGACCAGATGGATATAAAAGCAAGTTCCATCAAACATTTAAAGAAAAATTAATTTCAATATTACATAAACTGTAGAGAAAATTAGGAAAAGAAGGTGTCTTACAAAATTCCTTCTATGATGCAAAATGGTCTTCCTATCTTAACAAGGGAGAGTAAAAACATAAGAATATTGAGGCAAAATTTTTAAGTAAAATGTGACCACAGTAACATATCACAAAGGTTACGATGCTTGGTTCAATATCAGAAATATAATTGACAAGAACAACAACAACAACAACTATAATAACCAATCATATGACTATATCAATATACAGAGAAAAAGCTTCTTGACAAGATAAAACATACGTTCCTGTCAAAAACACAAGAAACATGGGAATAAGTGGATGTTACCTTATTATAAGTAGTATCCATCTAAAACCAAGAGCAAGCATTGCACATGATGGGGATAAACTAGAGTGCTTTCCTATAAGACCAGGAGTAAAACAAGGAGGTCCACTATTTGATACAGTGCTAGAAATGCTAGCTGCAGCGGTAAGACAGGGAAATGAAAGTGAGAGAATAAGCACGGTCAAAGAGCAAACACAATTATTGCTTTTCGCGTACCATATGAAGGTTTACTTAAAGAACAGGAGGGAATCAACTAAGAAATTAATTGAAACTTCAGCAAAGTTACAGAATATAAAATAAATCCACAGAGATCATCAGCATTACTATATATTACTAAGAAAGACCAGCAGGAAGAAACAGACAAAGAAACTCCATTTAAATTGACTACAGAATGTAGTCAATTTAAAAATACTGGGAAAATTTTTTTTAATTATATATTAATAACCAATTTTACATATGGGGCCCAAAGATCTTCTTTTTGCTTGCTCATTCAAAGCCCAGTTTCTCTAGGACATTTCTGACCTAGCCCCCAAATTTACCCCATCCAGACCATCTTACCTAGGTGAATTCTTACTGTAACCCTACTACTGCTCAAATTCAAGTAGGACCGGGTGGAGAATAGATTCTTTTGTACAGACTGCTGGAGGCAGAATGATCAAAGTCACTTCCCCCAGCCCCTCATAGAAAAAAGCCCACCTCTCATTAATTGTTAACCATTCAGAGTTGATTTTCACCCTCAAGGACACCCCCTTTTCCAAACGTATTTAAAACATTCAGGGACTTCCGTTAGAAGAGAATCCACTGACCTCACTTTATTCATTATTTGCTACCATAACTAATAAATTGATTATTAATTACCCAGAAACTCTGTCTCTCAGACTTTTGAATCATAATCCTTTCTGTTCGATTGTCCTCAGTTTTTTCCTACTTTAGCCAAGCTCTGCCTAATACTTTTACATGAGGAATAGGGAGTGCATTCGTTTTATCTGCAATCTGCATGAAAAAGTTTTATTTTTAATTATTTTTAAAATATTTTAAAAAAACATTTTTACTGATTGCACACACAGATAACACATAGTATAGACTCACCAACTGTATAAACAACTTCAACATCACTCAACTCAGAGTCCATAATGTTGTTCTTTGACGTCTCTCTCATTTCCCCAAGAAGAAAACCTTCCTGGGGGGGTACAAAAAAGAAGCAATATATGAAATAAACTAACATTTACTATGTCTTTACTCATTAGTTCATTCCAAACCTGAGCACCTACAATATGCTAGATACTAAAGAGGACACAAAAAAGCACTGCACTTGGCCTAGTTGGAGAGAAGGCACGAATTAGTTAAGCAACAGAATACAACATGTCAAAATGAATGGTATGGCTAAGTATTATAAAAATTGTCCTAAGAGGAAGATTAATATGGACGGTATTACTGATGATTATCATCCATTTCTTGCCCCCTAACCATGAGGGTGCCCCATAGTGCTGTCCTTAGCCTTCTACTTTCTGTGATCTTATCAATCCCCATGGGTTCAAAGTATCACCTTTATACAGATGATTCATGAACAGATGCATACCCAGCCCTAATCTTTTTTCCTGAATTCCAGTCCCATATCACTAATGGCCTTCCTGGACATCTTAGGTAACTCAAGTTCAACACGACCAAAACAAAACTCATTTTCTTCCCCTTTAACCTACCCTTTCTCTTGAAGGTGTCACCAATCCTCCTATCAGCCAAGCTTGAAAACTGGGGACCAATGACCCTCTCTGCCACCCCTCAAGTCTCTAATCCACTGCCTAGTCTTTTCAGTTTTATCTCAACATCTTTCCTATCCATATTCCTTTTCCCCCTTATGTTGTCCCCGCCCAATTTTGAATCTATATTACCTAGTTGCATGGATAGTTGCAACCTCCTCCCTGTTTTCCTTTGCTTCCCTCCCCCCCTCCCCCTCCCTGCCCAATGCATTCCCACAGCTGCCAAAAGAATTTTCCCAAATTGCAAGTCTAATCATGCTAATCCCTGCTCAAAAATCTCCCATGGTTTTCCATTGCCTCAAAGATAAAATACCAACTCAAGCTGGCATTTAAAACCCTTCAGTCTGGCTCCAGTCTTAACTTTCTAGATTTATGTCAGACACATTTCTATACTAGCCTAAATGGCCTACTCTACTTTTCCTGAACTTAATGTTCCATCTCTCACCTGCATGCCTATAAGCAAGCTATTCTTTAATGCCTTTTAGAATGCTTAGCTTCCTTCCAAACTCATCTAAGGTGCCACTTCCTTTGCGAACCCTTTCTTGATTCCCTTAGTTGTTAGCATTCCCTCCCTCCTCAAATTACCTTGCATTTATTTCTGTTTACATGCTGTATACCCCACTAGAATATAGGTTCTTTGAAGGGAGGGTATTCTTCTTGTTGTCTTTATAACTACCCAGCACCTTAGCTGTTCAAATTAATTATCTGAAATAGAAAATAATCCTGAGGTACAAAGTTTCTGAGTGAAACTTATTTAATAGCAAGGCTAGCAAGTTACCATTAAATCAGGTCAACTAATTCCTCAGTAATTAGTGACAAAGCAGTGATTTAAAAAGCTTATTTTTATAACACAAAAGAGAAATTTTTAAAAATAGGAAATTTGTTTTGAACACAATTCAATTGGACAAGACAAGTCATCTGACTAGTTTGCTTTTCCCAGGCTTTCTTAAACCAAATTTTCAAAGTGAGATTATCCCAGAAGTCCTTGCTCTACAGGCAATGCCTTTTTGTAAGGAGAAAGCTTACTGGGAAAGAGAAACTTGTGGTGTACAGTTAGCAGTCACACATCACCTACCACTACCCCCACCCACCCCCTGCCCCCTTGCCTCCGTCTTCCAGCTGCCAACCTTAGAAGATTCCATTACTCAACTTAGACTTAACCTCTAGTTAAAGAAAAAAAAAAAAACCAACTAATCCACTAAGATTGGAAAGAGGAACTTAGCCTTTAGTCAACCCACCCTTTCTCCAGCTGCCAGAAAGGGGAACTCGGCCTTTAAAGAGTCTTATAGTCCTACGATTATTTTATTCCTACAAAGATAAATGTCTTACTCTAAATTATCGGTTACTAAATGATAAAGTATTATCAATCTATTTACTTATTTATTTATTCTTTACTAAAGCTATAGGTAACCTAGGCTTAAGAGAATATCTATGTTAGTCTGGCTTAGCTGTTAGGGCTAGCTTTTCCTATAATCAAACTAAAAATAAAGCAAAGTAATCAATACTAACTGATTTTCCTTACTATGTGTAAGCACAATGCTTGCACATAGTAAGCTCTTCATGTTTATTGAATGAATGAACCACAGGGCTATAAGCTGAACCCTGAAGGTAGGATTTACTCAGTCAACTGGCATTTATCACTGTATCAAACGCATCGAATCACATGCCTACCATGTGCCAGGCACTGTGCTAAGTGCTGAGAACACAAAGAAAGGCTTAAAACAACAACGACGACAATGACGACAACGACGACGACGACAACAACCCAGTCTCTGCTCTCAAGAAGTTCACAGTCTAATGGGGAAAAGGAGATTCTTGGCAGAATAAACTGTATGTGTTAAGATTTGGAATCAGGAATGTGTATTATAGGTTTGGAAGATAGTAAGATAACTAGTCTGGCTAGAGGGGAAAGTTTCTGGCATATTGGTATGGTAAGCTTAAAAGTATGGAGAAACCTGAATGGTGACAGGAGTTGGGACTTTATTCTCTGGGTAACGAGGATGCACTGGAGACTGTTGAGGTATATTAATCTACAAGTAGTTACTAAATACCTACTTTGTGCTAGGCACAGGGGTTAAAAAAGAATCCAGTTCATGCCTTTAAATGGCAAATAAAAGGTAGATAAAATTGGGGCACTGGAGGAGGGACGAACTAGTAGCTGGGGGGTGAGGGTGGGGGGCCAGGGGATTAAGAAAGGCCTCATGTAGGAGATGATGAATGAGCTGAACTTTGAAGGGCACTAGGGATTCTGAGAGGCAGGTAAGGAAGGAGTGAATTCCAAGCAATAGGGGACAACTGATAAAAAGGCATGACAACAGGAGACAGAATGTTTAAAGGAACTGCAAGTAGGGCAGTTTGGCTAGAAACAGGTTGCATGGAGGGGAGAAATGTGTAATGAATCAGAAAAGGAAGGCAGAAGCAAGTTAATGAAGAGTTTTACCATATATGTACATGTCCATCTGAGGAGTTTGTTTTTTGATTCTAGTTCCCACTGAAACCTTTTGAGCATCAGAGTGTCATGGTCACACCTATGCTGGATGAACTGGATAGGAGAAAGCCCTGAGCCAGGAAGACCAATCAGAAGGCTACTGGTCTCTAAGTAGTCTAGCAAAGAGGCTCTGAACTAGCTGGGGGGGGGGGGGGGGAGCCATGGTGGACATAAAATTTTTGATTATCTTTTATTTTAAAATCAGTCATTTCCAGCCACACCCTTTCCTGCCAACCTCCCCAGTGAGCTTTTCCTAGTAACAAAGAAAGTTACACAGAAGCAACTGATTTGGCAATAGCACACACAACATTCCAAACCCATAGTCCTCCACCTCTCCAAAGGAAAGAATCTCTTCTCCTGGGCCAATTATAATCGGTCATTATAATTAGCTGTATGAGTATTGCCTCTACATCCACATCATCTCTCACAGGATTTGGCAAATGATCAGATTTTGAGGGTGAGGAAGGGTAAATAGTCAAGCATGGTTCCTAAGTTTCAAACCTGGGTTGAATGGAAGGATGCTGGTGTCCTTGACATAAATATCAAAGTTAGAAGAGGAAGTGGATATGGGAGGATTAAGTCAGTGTTTTAGGAAATTAATCTATCTGGATTGAAGAAGGGAAGAGATGGTGATATAGGGAGAAGTGTGTTGTCTGAAGGGAAGGATTATTTTAAATGGGTTGCAAGTTTTTTCACAATAGTACTTTTTCCTTTTTTTTTTTTTCTTTTTTCTTTTAATCAGGGAGGTATGCACACTCCCGGAGATTTAAAACAAATATACACATAGGTCTACAACCTCTCTCACCCTTCATAAAAGACCCAGTGTTTTACAATACTGCTAAGTTGCTTAGTATTGTTTTTTAGCATTGATTTTCTTCATTTCACAACAGGCCAAAAGACAGGCAGCACTTTTACAAATCAAGATGTGGTAGCCAAGAAAAATTCAGTATGTCTAACTTCCAGTCTCAAGTGTTCTGGGCTGCTTCCAAGAATAATCACCTCTAAGGGAGAGACAATGCAAGCCATGCTCTTCAGACCCTTTCTTTTGAAAGACTAAGGAAAAGGTGAGGTAAGAGCCATTCACCAATTGATAAAAAGTCAGTGGACACAAGGAAGCAGTTTTCAAAGGCAGAAATCCAAGGCATAAGGAAAAAACGTTCCAAATCATCAAGTGGAGCAACAGATACTAAAGCAACTGAGAGTCCACCTCACTAGCACAGACTGGCAAAGATGAAAAAATTGGATAATGACAAATGCTGGAGGGGCTGCAGGAAAATGGGCAAATTTATACATTACTGGGTGAGGCTGTGGGTTGGTCCATCTATCATGGAAAGGAATTTAGAGCCTGCCCCCAAAGTCACTAAACTGTGAATACCTAATAATCTAGAGACATTACTCCTAGGCCTACACTCCCAAAGATGTCAAAAGAAAGAAGAAAAGGCTGCGTCTCATGGCAAGGAAGTAGAAGCTAAGAGGGTGCTGGTCAATTTGGGAATGGCTGAAGAAATCATGGTATGTGTAAGAAATGAAGGTGGAGAATCTGAGAAACCTGGAAAGATTTGTATCAACTGATGCAGAGTGAAGTAATGAATAGGTGACTCATTTATCCGATAACGTCATTATAAAGAAAAATAACTTTGAAGGACAACTTTTATCCCTGATAAGGCAATGTCCACAATTCCGGAGGGCCAATGATGAAGTATGCTACCCATCCTCTGGACTGAGATGCAGAAAGAGACATACATTTTTGGATATAGCCAATGCAGGTTGTTTCACTTGACAAAGAACTTTTTTCTTCGTTTCTTTCTTTCTTTTGGGGGGTCTGGGGAGAGGTGGAGAGAGAAAATGTTAGTAAAATGAATAATAAAACTACAAGTCCAACAAAACATCGAGGGGGTAGGGACGGGCTGTGGGCCGCAATGCCGCCAACAACGCTCCCCGATTGTGGCCCAAAGCAGATTAAAACACAACTGGGAAGCGTCTAGCAACATAAATAAAAATACAATGAAACGAAGAGGGTGTTAACGTGTGGTTTTCCAAGTCAATGAGAGACGGCCCCCCCCCCCCGCCCCCCCCCCCCCGGCTCCCCCCCCCCCCCCGCCCCCAGCTCTTCCCTCCCCCCCCCTCAGTTCACAGGCCTCGGTTTCTGTTTGAGTTTAATGCCCTGAGGCCGGCCTTAGTAAGGGGTGTCCAGAGGAGGATCCTTCTCGCACTTCTCCGGGTGCACTGTGGCCTGCTCAACGTCGACCCTCCATCAACGCGGGAGAAGATGAGGAAGGTCGCGGTCTAGGGGGAGCAGCTGGACCCCGCCCTTCTTCCCCTCCCCCCGCGCGCCGCTCGCTCCCGGACGTGGCTTTGTCTCCTCATGGCCTCACCGTGTCAGTTTTGCAGTTAAAGTGCTGGAAGGCGAGAGAGCTAAACAGGAACCCCGACAGCAACGCCGACATCTTCTCGCCCTCCATGCTGCCGTTCCGCTCCCGGCCTAGGACGTCCAGCCGCACCGCGCGTACGCTGCTCCCTCCCCCGTATCTTCCGGGCGCGAGCACGCGAGCACGCGCCCGCCCAGACGGCGCAGGCCCCGTGCGCGCAGCGCCCCACGAGAGCGCGGAGGCGGTGCGTGGTCTAGAGCGCCCTCTGCCGGAGGAGGCCTCGGAGCCCGTCGCCTGCCGCCTGCTGCCTGCCGCGGGCAGAGAGAGCAGGCGCGGAGCTAGGTGGGCTCTGCCAGTGCCTCCAGGCTGCCCCGGTTGTCTTGCTTGGCCATTTTTAACGTCCTTCCCTGTCAAAGGCTTTACGATTTCCAGAACCCTTTCCCTCGGTCAAGCACCCGGTGGGATACAAAGGGCTGCTGAGTGTAATCCCTGTTTTGCAGATGAGGAAAATGGTTGAAATGAGGGACAGGTTCAGACCTGTCCCAGGTAGAGCTACCGAAAGGAAAACAAAAGCCAGCCTGAGCCACTTATTGCTATTTCATTGTGTCCGACTCTAACGTCAATACTGTCCGGCAGGAGTGGGGGTGGGAGCGGCGGCGGCGGCGGCGCGGCTAGGTTGCACAGTAGATAGAGCATCGGCCCTGGAGACAGGAGGACCTGAGTTCAAGTGTGGCCTCAGACACGTAACACTCACTAGCTGTGTGAGCCTGGGCAAGTCACTTAACCTCGATTGCCTCACAAGAAAACCAAAACATGTCCGTGGGGCTTTCTTGGCAAAGATGACTGCAGTGTATGGTGCATCTACTCGATTCCACTGACCCACCACTCTATTTCTTGGCTATTACTAGATAATTTTGATCATTACTACCTGACATTTAAATTTGAGATCTGGTATTGCTGGACCTCCTTCATTTTTTCATTTCATTAATTCCTTTGCTATTCTTGACCTTTTGTTATTCCAAATGGATTTTGTGACTATTTTTTCTAGCTCAATAAAATAATTTTGTTGGTAACTTAATTGGGATAGTACTGAATAAGTAGATTAGTATTGTCACTTTTATTATATTAGCCTGACCCACCCATGAACAATTAGTATTTCTCCAATTATTTAAATCTGACTTTGTATATAAAAAAGGAGCTTTTCCTTGAGGCAATCGGGGTTAAGTGACTTGCCCAGGGTCACACAGCTGGTAACCGTCAAGTGTCTCAGGCCAGATTTGAACTCAGGTCCTCCCACCTCCATGGACCGAGCGCTATTCCATGGAACCACCTAGCTTCCCCTAAAAAAGTATTTTTCAATTATGTTCAATTATGTTCCTGGATTCTTCCTGGCAGATAAACTCCCAGGTATTTTAGACCATCTATAGTTATTTTAAATGAAGCATCTCATACCATCTCATCTTTTTTTTTTCTTTTATATTTTATTTTCCCCCAACAACATGTAAAAACATTCTTTTTTAAAATTTTGAGTTCAAATTCTCTCCCTCACTTTCCCCCTCATTGAGAAGGCAAACGATTTGATATAGGTTATACATGTGCAATCATAAAATATTTCAATATTAATCATACTGTAAAAGAAAAAAACAAGAAAAAGAAATAAAGTTGGTTTTTTTTTTTTTTTAAGTATACTTCAGTCTGCATTCAGACTCTACCAGTTCTTTCTCTGGAGGTAGATAGCATTTTTCATCATGAGTCCTTTGGAATTGTCTGGGATCATTGTGTTACTGAGAATAGCAAAGTCATTCACACTTGGTCATCATACAATATTGTTGTTTCTGTATAAAAATTCTCCTGCTTCTTCTCATTTTACTTTGCATGTTCATGTAAGTCTTCCCAGGTTTTTCTGAAAGCATCCTGCTCCTCATTTCTTATATATCTCAATAGTCTTCCATCACAATGATATATCACAACTTGTTCAGCCATTCCCAAATCAATGGGCATCCACTCAATTTCCAATTCTTGGACACCACTAAAAGAGCTGCCATAAATATTTGTGTACGTATAGATACTTTTTTTCTTTCTTTCTTTCTTTCTTTCTTTCTTTCTTTCTTTCTTTCTTTCTTTCTTTCTTTCTTTCTTTGTCTCTTTGGGATACAGACCTACTAATGGTATTGCTGGGTCAACGGGAATGCACAATTTCATAGCCCTTGAGGCATAACAGTTCCAAATTGCTCTCCAGAAAGGTTGGATCAGTTCACAACTCCACCAACAATCCATTAGTGTTCCAATTTTCCCACATCCTCTCTAACATTTGTCATTTTCCTGTTTTGTCATGTGAGCCAATCTGATGGGTGTGAGGTGACACCTCAGAGTTGTTTTAATATGCATTTCTCTAAACAATAGTGATTTAGAGCATTTTTTTTCCTGTGACTATAGATAGCTTTGATGACTTCATCTGAAAATTGCCTGCTTATATCCATTGACCATTTATCAATTGGAGAATGACTCTATATATTTGACAAATGAGACCTTTATCAGAGAAACTTGCTGTAAAAATGTTTTTTCACAGTTATGATTACTAATCCTGTAATTTCCTCCATTCTATTTTCCCCATTTATCTTCCTCCTCTCTCTTTCCCCTTTCACCCTGTCATCCTCAAAAGTTGTTTTGCTTCTGACTTCTGCCTCCCCAAGTCACCCTCCCTTCTATCAGCCCCACCTCTTCTCTTGTCCCCTTCCTCTCCTACTTTCCTATTGAGTAAGATAGATTTCTATACTCAACTAAGTGTGTATGTTATTCCCTCTTTTAGCCAATTCTGATGAGAGTAAGGTTTAGAGTAAGCTCCCTCTCACATCCCCCATCTTCCCTTCCACTGTAAAAGCTCTTTCACACCTCTTTTATGTGAGATAATTTACCCCATTCTATTTCTCCCTTTCCCCCATCTCCCAGTGCATTCCTCTTTCTCACCCCTTAATTTTTTAAACATCATCCCATCATATTCAACTCACACCTGTGCCCTCTGTCTATGTATACTCCTTCTAACTGCCCTAATAATGAGAAAGTTCTTGGGAGTTATAAGTATCGTCTTCTCATGTAGGAATGTAAACCATTTAAACTTAGTAAGTCCCTTAGGATTTCCCTTTCCTGTTTACCTTTTTATGCTTCTCTTGAGTCTTGTATTTGAAAGTCAAATTTTATATTCACCTCTGGTCTTTTCATCAAGAATGCTTGAAAGTCCTCTATTTCATTGAATATCTATTTTTCCTCCTGAAGGATTACACTCAGTTTTGCTGGGTAGGTGATTCTTGGCTGTAATCCTAGTTCCTTTGCCTTCTGGAGTATCATATCCCACTTTAACATGGAAGCTGTTAAATCTTGTGTTATCCTGACTATGGCTCTGAGACATTTGAATTGTTTCTTTCTAGCTGCTTGCAATATTTTCTCCTTGACCTGGGAGCTCTGGGATTTGGCTATAATATTCCTGGGCATTTTCATTTGGGGATCTCTTTTAGGAGGTGATGAGTGGATTATCAGGGCACTTTTCCTTGATAGTTCCTTAAAAGATGATGTCGAGGCTCTTTTTTTCATCATGGCTTTCTGGTAGTCCAATACTTCTTAAATTTTCTCTTTTTGATCTATTTTCCAGGACAGTTGTTTTTCTGATAAGATATTTCAATTTTTCTTCTATGTTTTTATTCTTTTAACGTTGTTACATCATTGCTTAATGTCTTGTGGAGTCATTAGCTTCCACTTGCCCAGTTCTAATTTTTAAGATACACCAATACATTGTTGATGGAGCTAGGAACTAGTCCAACCATTCTGGAGAGTAATTTGAAATTATGTTCCCCCAAGACTATAAATCTGTGCGTGCCCTTTCACTCAGAAATACTGCTACAACAAAGGGACCAAATAAAAATAGGGGAAAAAAAAACATTTGTGCAAAAATGTGTATTGCAGCTCTTTGTGGGGTCAAAGAATTGGAAACTAGATGACCATCAATTGGGAAATAACTGAACAAGGTATAGTATATGAATGTGATGGAATACTATTGTGGTATTAAGTAAAGATGAGGGGTATGGTTTCATTAAAACCTGGGAACTCTTATATGAACTGATGCAAAGTGAAAGGAGAACCACCAAGGAGAATAATTTACACAAAAATTAGCAATATTGTAGAGATAGATAATCAAATGTGAAAGATTTACTAACTCTGATCAATGCAAATCTAACATAATTCTAAAGAAATCATGATGAAAGATGTTATCCACCTCCAAATAGTGGATTCAAAGTGTATATTGAAGCATTTTTTTCCTCTTTATTTTTTGGGACATGTCTAATACAGAAATGTTTTGCATGTCTCCATATGTATAATTGGTATTATAATGTTTGCCTTCTCAGTGAGTAGGGGAAAGGTAGAATGAGGGAGAAAATTCAGAACTGAAAATAAAATGACATTGAATAAAAATATAAAATAAAATGAATATATTTTTTAAATGAAAGAAGAGACAGCTTGTGGCTGGGATCCTTCAGTTGAAACTCTCCAGATACCACGATGTGACTCCAGTGATGAATGGTGAAAGAAAGGATACTCTACTCCAGTATCATAGTGACCTCACTGTCACTGGGATTCTACCAGAGTGTCTCATTTGCCTTTGTCCCTTGGGTGTTTGATCATTCCCGAATTACCTCAGGACAATGAACATCCCGGGGTAGACGTGTCTAAAATTTGGGTGTGAAAGATCCTGAACTCCAAGATTGGAAGTGGATGGAGGCAGGGGAAGCTTCTGTTTTAGAGAGATCCACCCACTGACAAGAGGGTTGGCCCAGCCAAGCTGTGGTGCCAGCAACTTGCTATTCTGATGACGCAAAGGCAAGGTGAAATGGAAAGTGCCTAATCAGCACAACTGCTTTGTGTTCTGGTGAAGTTTAAGTACCACCTTCCTGCCTGTTACATGTTAAGCTGCTGAATCTTGTTCTGCTAATGCGTACTCATGGGTATTTTTAATATTTTGCCTTTCTTATGTGCATAGGAATAATACCCATTCATATCTTACATTGAATCATTTTTTTTCAATCCCCCTCCCCCTTTTGGGGTATGCCACAGATTTGAGAGCTACGTGCTAATTTCCTGATTACAATTTGC